TCAAAGTCCTGATCACTGGTCCCCTGGAAGCTGGAGAGGAAGGGGAGCATCAGGAGCACGCTCAGTCAGAGTGAGTGGAAGGACAGAAAGCTGCCATAACTTTGGAAGACAAGACTGGAAAAGAAACATGTTTGCTCAACAAACCAGCAATGGCTGTCCTTGAGATTTACCTACAGTTGTTGAAAGCTTCTTGTACATATAGAAACCTGCACTTTGGATAATTAGAGGAACTTTAGACAAATTGCCAAGATGTGTAAGCAGCCAAAGTGCCCAGAAGTGGGCGAATGGATGATCTGGTGTTCATGTAGACAAGGGACTGTGACTCAGCACCAAAATTAATGAGCTCTCAAGCCATCACACATGGGAAGAGCCTGAAATGCATAGGACTAAGCGAAAGAAGCCAATCTGGAAAGGCTCTGTACATTTTGATTACAACTATAGAGCAGTTTACTGCTCTGTTGATATTTAATGATCAGAAACATGTCATTATAGATTTGTCTAGAATTCAAAGAGTTGTAGGCACTACACCAGGACGTGGACTCTCACATAGACTTTGACCTGTGTTGTGTAACTGTGATGTGTGAAGGGAGGTTCATGCTTTGTAACAAATGTACCACTATAGTGAAGAGTGTTGCTAATAGTATGGATATAGGAAATCTCTATACGGTCTGCTTAGTTTTGCTGTGAACCTAAAATTGCTCTAAAAATTAAAGTCTTGGGGGCAGAGATATATAATACGGTAGGTAAGGTACTTGCCTGCCATGTGGCTGACCTGGGTTCCATCCCCAGGATGTGTGGTCCCCAGCCTTCCCAGTTGTGATCCCTGAAGTGCAGAGCCAGGAGTAAACCTGTGCACATCTAGACCCCCTAAAGAAAAGTTGAAATCTTAATTAAAATATCAAAAATAATTATCTTTTATCTATGTGAGACAATAGCCTATCTTGAAGCGCAGGTTTATTTTGACATTCACATCTAGAGGTGTGCTTAGCTAATCTCCCATTAAATTATAAAGATGTTTCCTTCTGTGGGTTAAGGAATTTATAACTAAGAAATAACATGGTATATGTCATTCACAAAGAACTTCTTTAGAGAACCAAGAAACTGCCCACTGTAGATCAACCAGAATGAAGAAAGAAAACGGTTAGAAATTAAGTTGCATTTTATTCCTGATGAGTTTGGCTGTCACTGTAGCCCAAACAGATTTTGTGTTCAAGGGAGCATGTCAAAACATTGTAGCTTTGGTACATGATTTGTTTTTCCTCTTAGTAATTTTCATTTACATCCTTGGGTGGATGGTTGTCTGCAGGAGTGAGTATATTTAATTAAACTTTTCCTGGGTTTAAGAGGGAGCAGTCCCGTTCTGATCTCGTGGCTGGCATATTGCCTTTAGATATATTTAAGTGCACTCTTTCCAGCATTCAAGTTAAGCACAAATGAAACCTAGACAGGGAATATGGAGTTCAAACTTTCTTGCCTTTCACATCTGCCTTTTTGTTATGCCCTTCTAGTTACTTTTAGATTTGTCTAACTAGAACTTAAGCCTCACCTGACTACCTTTCTTATTTCTTTTTATTTTGGGGTTGCACTTATCAGAACTTTTTTTTTTATGACATCTTATTATCTCATTCCTACTTTGGACAAATTTGCAGGCTATCGAATGTAGCCTGCCCACAGGGCAGAGTCTGGCAAACTCCCCGTGGCGTACCAAATATGCCAAATACCAGTAACAATGATGGGTCTCATTCTCCTAAAGAGCCTTGAATATAATCTCAGGGCTGGGCTGGAGCGATAGCACAGCGGGTAGGGCGTTCGCCTTACAAGCAGCCAACATGGCCGACCCGAGTTCGATTCCTCTGCCCCTCTCGGAGAGCCCGGCAAGCTACCGAGAGTATTCGATATGCCAGACACAGTAACAGCAAAGTCTCCAATGGAGATGTTACTGGGCCCGCTCGAGCAAATCGACGATCAACGGGAGGGCCTTTACCTTTTACCTTTTTTAGGATGAAAGAGACGTTACTGGGGCCTGCTCGAGGCAATCGACGAATAACAGGATGATGAAATGAAATGAAATGAAATGGGGTTGCACCTGGCGATGCACAGGGGTTACTCCTGGCTCTGACTCAGAAATTACTCCTGGTGGTGCTCAGGGGACCATAAGGAATGCTGGGAATCGAACCTGTGTCGGCCACAAAGCAAATGCCCTATCTGCTGTACTATCGCTCCAGCCCCACCTGGCTACCTTTCTACTAAGATCTTTGCAAGGACCCACTGTTGTCTGCATCACGGTTGTCCATAGTCTAGCCTCGACTCATTTTCCCAACTCAGTGCCCACCCTTCCCTATAAATACATCGTGCTTCAAGCCACGGTGCACCACTGGCCGTTGCCTGCTGTGCTTAGTGTGCCTGTTGCTCTGTGACTTTGCGCAGGCGCGTTCTTTCCCAGCAGCATCTTTGTCCTCTGGGCACGGACATGCCCAAGCAAGCAAATCAGTGTAATTCAGCAGAGTGGTGACTCTAGCAGAAGAATAGTTGTTTTCAGTCCCCTGATCATGTTGGGAAAAGGCAGAGTGTGAGGTGAGATATTCGGAAGGATTGAGACCTGGCTATTGATGCTTCCAGAATGTGCACGTAGCTACGGCAACCTCCACTGGGGCCTGTTGTGACTTAGGCCCTGACCTAGGAGTGCTATTGGTAGATCTTTCTGCCTAGTTTAGACCTTTTAAAATTTTGTCCTTAGAATGTAAGCACAATGGGATGTTGAACATTCCCACAGACCTCACAGATTTGTGAGACCTGATAGAGTGTGTGTGTGTGTGTGTGTGTGTGTGTGTGTGTGTGTGTGTGTGTTCTGTGCCTGTAAGTAAAGGAAAGAAACACTAGGTTTTTTGGCACCATTTTTTTTAAATTGAATCACCCCGAGATGCAATTATAAAACTTTCATGTTTGAGTTTTAGTCATACAATGATTGAACACCCATCCCTCCACCAGTGCACATTCTCCACCACCAATGTCCCCAGTGCACCAATGTGTCTCCTTCTCCCCCTTCCCCCATCCCAACCTTCCCCTTGTCTCTATAGCAGATAACTTCTCCCATACTGTCTCTCCACTTTTGGGCATTATGGTTTGCAATATAGATACTGAGAGGCTGTCATGTTTGGTCCTTTATCTACTTTCAGCACACATCTCCCATCCCAAACAATCCCTCCAACCATCACTGACTTAGTGATCCCTTCTCTGTTCTAACTGCCTGCTTCCAAAGTTCATGAGACAGGCTTCCAAATATGGAGCAATATTCCTGGCCCTGGCCCTTGTGTCTACTGTTCCTTGGGTGTCAGTCTCATATTATGTTATTTTATATTCCACAAAGGAGGAAAGACTTGTTCTTATCCCATTTTATTCAGCAGCTTTCCCAAATAACACAGAAGTACCTTATTTTAAAGTCACTTCTTTATGTAAAAAAGAAAAAGTGCCGAGCCAGAGAGATAGAGTGTGCTTGCTTTGCATAAAGCTGAGCTTGGATTTGATCCTTCGTACCATATATTTTACCCTGAGAAAAGCCAGAAGCAAGCCTTCAGCACAGAGCCAGGAGTAAGTCCTGAGCACTACCAGGTATGGTCCCCAAAACAAAACAAACAAATAAAAAAGGAAGTACCTGCTGAGCTTCTTATTAAAAATCATGGTGTAACAGTGATGCTAGGTATATATAGAGTGCTTAGGCCTGCACCTCATGTGATTCTTCAGCTGGAAGTAGGCATGTGACTAGCCAGATTTCAGAAGTGAAGGGAGCAAAAGTAAGGTTGCTTGCTTGAGGGCCCACAGACAGCCTTTCCTCCAGCCCAGGCTGTCAAATGCCTGAGCTCATTTACTTAAGCAAAACGCCAGTTCCATGTCTCACAGACAAAGGTATTCCTATGATTCATTTATTGATATTGCTTCATTTATGCCCCGTGTGATGATCCTGATCCCTTAACTCTGCCCCAGCCGCCTCCCCCCTCGTCTTTCCTCACCCCCCCACCCCCCCTAGTGCTAGAATTGTGTTGCAGTCTCTTTCATGAGTTGTCTGGTTCCTGTGCCATATGCTGAAAGCTTTAAAGAGCCTAATACTGTGCTGGTGCTAAGTATCTACTCCCAGTTGTCTGTGTGTGAGGCCTGACTTGACGTGTGAGGCAGTTCCTTCACAGAATTCCAGGGAACTGCAATTTCCTCAGGTTTATAATGTGTCTCTTTGTCATCAAGATTATCATGCCTTACATTTAGAAATGAATCCATACATTTATGTCAGTGATCCCAATCACTGTTACTGTTCAACTAATCTGTTACAGTTAAAATATATATGTATATATACATATATACATATTTATTTGGTTTCTTTATTTCTTTTTTTAAAAATGTTTTTAATTTTTGTTTTCTTTTACAAAATGAGTGTGAGTCTCTGACACCCAGTGCCCGACTCTTGGTAGTTATATTTGAGCAGGGTCAAAGATGGGCTCCAGCCCATCAGTAGCACAGCAGGTAGGGCATTTGCCTTGCATGCAGCCGACCTGGGTTTTATTCTTCCGCCCCTCTCGGAGAGTCAGGCAAGCTACCGAGAGTGTCTCACCCACAGGGCAAAGCCTGGCAAGCTCCCTGTGACATACTCGATATGTCAAAAACAGTAACAACAAGTCTCACAATTTGTTGTGAGATGTTACTGGTGCCCGCTTGAGCAAATTCGTGAACAATGAGAGGACAGTGCTACAGGGCCAAAGATGACTTCCATGAACCTTTTTGCACGCCCTGAGAAAAATCTTGCTGAGGGGCCAAGAACTGAGCAATTTGTGCACGTTTATGGCAGCAACAAAGCAATCTAGGTGTTTGTTAGGTCTCATTCATCTCACCCTCTTTTTTTTTGAGCAACTTACAGAGATTACTATGGACTTCTCACCTTCTTTTTTTGAGCATCTTACAGAGATTACTATGGATGTGGTATTTTACTTAATATAATTTAATTTTTTTTATAGAGGAGATGCATGCCGAAATCTGTTATGCCGAGTGTCTTCTGCAGAAAGCAGCACTCACGTTTGTGCAGGTAATGAACTTTTGGTTGGCTGAGGAAGCCTGCCAGTATGACATAGAAAAAAAAATGCAGCTCTTTTCTATGTCAGTGCTTCTGTTATTGTGACTTAGAGTTGTAATCGCAAATATATGTTGTTCTGGTAAACTATGGCTGAAAAACAGGGAAGTTGATTCCTTTTCAAATGCTCTTAGAGTCTGTTTTAAACTTCAGTACTGCAAGGATGCACTGCCTTTCAAAGAAATTCTGCAACCATCACACCTAAGTACAGGATGCTTTTCTTTAAAGAATCTGTGAGTCATTCTTGGTGCTTGCTAGAGGGTAGAGGATTACACCCAGGAGCAGCCTGGCAGGGGAGGTTGGGGAGGATCCTTTCATCCTTGGCCCCTGGATTCTTACACAAGCTGCTTGCCTAGGGAGTCCAACTTTTCATGTATACTCCAGATTTTATCTTTCCCTTTTCCTTATTCTCATTGCCTGTTTTTGCTTTTATTTCTTCCTGTGGAAGAGCAGCTTTTAAAGGCCCATAAATAGAAAACTAAATCCTTTTCTTATAAGCATTTGCACTTCATCTCTTGGAACAGTAGAGCCAGTCAGTACCTTGCCTATAATTCTCTTCCAGTGCTTCTGAAGAACATGGACTTTTGACTTTTGTTATCTATTATTGGCTGCCCAGTGATGGGTACAGTAGGATGATACAGCCGGGTTGGACACCTTTAGGGGGCAGAAAATCATCAAAATGTAATCTTCCCTCCATCTCAATGTTTCACAAGAGTTGCTTTTCCTTTTTTTTTCAGAGGTTGATGTCTTTGGTTGCATTCTGGCTTAGTAAAAATGGAAACAGACGGACACAGTCTGTGATCCTGTTTCCTAAAATCCTACATATTATGAATACTGATTAAAAGTAGTATTCTTTTTTTCCTTCTCTCTCTCTCTCTCTCTCTCTCTCTCTCTCTCTCTCTCTCTCTCTCTCTCTCCTTTTGGTTTACACCCAGCGATGCTCAGGGATTACTCCTGGCTCTGCACTCAGGAATTACTCCTGGTGGTGCATGGGGGACCATATGGGTTGCCGGGGATTGAACTTGGGCTGGCCACATGCAAGGCAAATGCCCTACCCACTGTACTATTGCTCCAGCCCCAAAAGCAGTATTCTTTTTAATTCTTTTAATTTATTTTTTATTTTTATTAGTGAGACATCATGAGGTACAGTTGTAGACTTACAAATTTTTGTGCTTGGGTTTCAATTATACAATGATCAAATACCCATCCCTTCACCAGTGCCCATTTCCCACCACTATGGATCCCAGTATCCCTTCCACCCCCCCATTCCCCCCATCCCACCCTGCCTCTGTGGTAGGGCATTCCCTTTTGTTCTCTCTCTCTTATTGGGTGTTGTGGTTTGCAAAAGAGGCAATGGTTGACAATCATGTTTGGTCGATAGTCTACTTTCAGCATGCTTCTCCCATCCTGGGAGGATCCTCCCAACACCCTTTATTTGGTGCTCCCTTCTCTATCTGAGCTCTCTTTTCCCCTAGCATGTGTGGCTGGCCTCCCAAGCCATGGAGCAAAATTCTGGTACTAATCTCGGCCATTCTTGGGTGTTAGTCTCCTATTTTGTTACTTTATGTTCCCCAGATGAATGCAATCTTTCTATGTCTATCCCTCTCTTTCTGAGTCATTTCACTTAACATGATACTTTCCATGTAGTACCACTTGTACGTAAATTTCACGACTTCATCTTTTCTAACAGCTACATAGTACTCCATTGTGTAAATGTACCAAAGTTTCTTTAACCAGTCATCTGTTCTTGGGCACTCAGGTTTTTTCCAGATTCTGGCTATTGTAAAAGAGTGCTGCAATGAACAAACAAGTGCAGATGTTACCTTGACTATACTCTTTTGCCTCTCTGGGATATATTCCCAGGAGTGGTATTGCTGGGTCAAATGGGAGCTCAATTTCTAATTTTTTGAGAATCGTCCATACTGTTTTCCAAAAGAGCTGAACCAGTCGGCATTCCCACCAGTGGTGAAGCAGGGTCCCTTTCTCGCCACATCCGCGCCAGCACCTGTCCAAAAGCAGTATTCTTAACTGTCTTTGCAAACAGTCATAAACGCAGGGCCCTCAATGATTTTTCTGATGCATTTTTCTAAGCGAGCATTTGACAGTCAAATAGTCAAAACTGAGATTTGAAAGCTTATTTTATACTTGGGGACTTGTCATTTGACAAGGCTAGGAAGAGAGCCATGATTGTCCCCTCTCCTCATCCCAGTGTATCTAGCCAGTTGCCTACTCATGCTGTATCTACCTTTTGAAGCTAGGCAGCCCCATCCTTTTCGTTCTGACTGTGCCTGTGCTAATGGGAATCCTCATCAGCTCTTTCCTAGACTGCACAATTTTCTGGTGACTTCCAGTTTATCTTACCTTCAGCTCATCCTCCATTGCACATCTCAGCAGATCTCTCAGGGATGAGAATCTCACTTTGCCATTTCTGTGCTTCAGTGCTCCTTGACTTTGACAGTGATGCTGTAGCAGAAGAATCAGAAGTGGTGGGAAACCTTTTCAAAGTAAACTGCCCCCAGCCCCAGTTCCCTGCCTCTTACAAATGCTGTTGTTGCATATGTTGCCTGCAGAGAAGCACAGGTGGAAGCTGCTTTCTTACTTCCCTCTTTTGCAGCAGATACTTCAGCAGTGTTACATAACACATCTGGCCAAACCAAATAATCTTCCATGCTTTCTTGCCTGGAAGAAACACGAAGTTTCCATTACTTGCAAAGTTCAGTTCTGCTTTGCTATCCTCACCTAGCTACTTCCTAATCAGTATTTGTTCTATAAGCTTCCAGAAACATTTTGTGACCCTTTCTGCGCTCTCTGTGGTCTTGTGGTCTGTGCATGTCTCCATCCATGTACCCGCCTTCATCCCTCAGCACCTGTATCACATTGACCCAATTTTTCATTCAAGTGCATGGTGTAAAACAGACATTTGATAAATATTTGCTGAATCATGAAATGAAATAGTCTTACTCTGGGCAGATTTTAGTCTCATTTAAGAAATTCTTTCCTGCCCTATTTTGGAACTTGTGTAGATCATAAGATTTCTTAAAATAAGAAAAGGCACAGTTAAGTTGCTTATGAATTTTGTATTAACTGATTTTTAATAATGTTAAATATTTAATAAATGAAATTTGCAAACTAAAACTAAATGAGATTTTTAAAAGAGAGAGATGTTTTAAGTGTACAGAAAATAAATGCCAGAGCATGTTTCTTATATATTAATAGATTAAAAAATACTACTGGATATGTGAAACCTGGGGCCATCTTCATTAGCACCGTTTATTAGATAATACCCTTCATACAGTTATATGATATTGAGAGACTTTCTCAGAACCTTAGAATGTCTCCTCTGAAAATGGCATTGATCTATATCAACTGCCTTAACTTTTTTTTTTCTTTTTGGGTTACACCCGGCAATGCACAGGGGTTACTCCTGCCTCTGCACTCAGGAATCACTTCTAGCGGTGCTCAGGGGACCATATGGGATGCTGGGAATCGAACCTAGGTTGGCTGTGTGCAAGGCAAATGCCCTACCCACTGTGTTATCACACCAGCCCCATCAACTGCCTTAACTTTATGATTCATGATATTGGGCAAAGAGAAAAAAGTGAAGTGATTTTTCCTCCAAATAAAATCATAAACTACTGACAAGCTATTTAGAAAATGGTTCAATTATTTTTGATCTGAAAATACATATGAATAAAATTGGACACGCTCATAACCTGCCTCAAAATAACCTGTGCAAAAAATCCCTCTTATTGGTATGCTGGATGAAAAACATTGGCCTTAAATTAGTGAATCATTTTGTATTGTATTGGCCCGGAAATATATTGCTCAGTCGATAATGATATTGACTAAAGTAGATTTGAACAAACCTCTCTGACTTCTTTTTGGTGAGGATTATTTCCTTAATTCTTTAAAGTAATGAAACAGATTTAAAAAGTAATTTTTGTTGTCATCAAATTTGGCAATGAACAGAATTACACTGAAGTCTGTTCAACTTAAAGCAGAAAGAATATTTTAATTTAAAAATTAAGTCCTCCCAAACATGATGGCCTCTCAGTATCTGTATTGCAAACCATAATGCCCAAGAGTAGAGAGGGAGTAAGAAGGAAATTGTCTCCCATAGAAGCAGGGGGCGGAATGGGTTGGGGGTGGTGGGAGGGATACTGGGGACATTGATGTAGGAAAATGTACACTGGTAGAGGGATAGGTGTTCAATCATTGTATGAATGAAACTCAATCATGAAAGCCCCCCCCGAAAAAAAATTAAGTCCTCAATGTCCTGAAGGTATTTTGTTCTAGCTGTACAAATGTATGGTGTGTGATATATTAAGAATTCTTGCTCAGTGATCTAATTAATTGATTATATTGTTTTCAGGATGAAAATATGATCAACTTCATTAAAGGTGGACTCAAAATTAGAACAAGTTACCAAATATATAAGTAAGTTAAAAATTCAGACAGTTTTAAAATTATAATTAAGTATGAAAATTATCTTTTTAAAACTCTGGTTAGTAAAAATGGACTTGATTTTTAGCCTACTGAGCACGTGCTTAGTGTGATAGAATAGCAGAACTTAAGTTTAAAACAGTTTTGAAGAAAAGAGCTAAACAAAGTATTGCTGGCTTCTGAATAGTCTTAGTTTCTTTTTCCTAAAAGCAATTAAGATTTTATTGTCTATTTTAGTTGATAGATATGTCTTTGACTTAGACTTTATAGAAATTCTGCCCAATAGAATTTTCTGCAGTGATCCAATAAATGTGGACCAGAATGGTATGTGTATCTTCTATAGCTTTTGTGATTTTTATCTTCTTGTTTTATCATTTGGGCTGGAGCAATAGTACTGCGGTAGGGCGTTTGCCTTGCAAGCATCTAACATGACCAACCCGAGTTCAATTCCTCCACTCCTCTCAGAGAGCCCGGCAAGCTACCGAGAGTATCTCACCCCACAGCAAAGCCTGGCAAGCTCCCCATGACATATTCAATATGCCAAACACAGTAACAACAAGTCTCACAATGGAGATGTTACTGGGCCCACTTGAGCAAATCGATGAACAACAGGAGGACCATGACCGGACTGTGACCGTGTTTTATCATTTATTCGCAGTGCTTAGAAATTTCCAACTTTTGTTCTGGAATTATCCTTTTTCCTCTTTGGTTCTGTCATTGTTTGTTTTGTATGTTTTGAACCTCTCTAATTAGACTCATTTATAATTGTTTTACCTTCCTGATGGATCAATTTTTTTACTATTATGAAGGGTCCCCACTTAATTCCTTATAACTTTCTGTGTCTTAAAATTGATTTTAAATTTGTAAGTCTACAACTATACCTCATGGTGTTTCACTAATAAAAATTTTTAAAAAAATAAATAAAATTTAAAAAATGGATTTTTATTTATATCAGTGTTTCCTATCATGCCTTTTTGGTAATTAATATTTTCATGGTATATGTTTTTTATTTTAAATACTTGTTTTTATATTTAAATTGAATTTCTTCTACATAAACAGATCTTAAAAAAATTTTAGGCTCCTTGATTTATAATATTTATAAACATAGGTCTTCATGCCTAAAACATTCCAGCAGCACCCCTCCACCTAAGTGTCAGCTTGGCTCTGCCACTGTCCCAATATCCCCTCTCTCCCAACCCTTCTTAGACTCTGTACCCCCTTTGCAGTGATGCTTTCTACTGAAGATCAGCTCTCAGTTTCTGTTGCCTTTGGGCTTTTATTGTTTCCTGATTATGGTTCTTTATACACCAGGTATGAGGGAGATCATTACATATCTGACTCTCATTTTGACAATTCACTCAGTACGATATACTCCAAATCCATCGGCACAGAAGCAAATTGCATGCTTTTGTCTTTTCTTATGGCTAAGTAGTAGTTCATTGTGCAAATGAGCCAAAGTTTCTTTGTCCTGTTATCTGTTCTTAGACACTTCCAGATCTTGGCCATTGAGAACAATGAACATAGGGTGCAAAGATCTTTTATAAATAGAGCTTTTCGGCCCTTGGGGTAGATACTCAGAAGTGAAATTGCTGGATCATATGAGTTCAGTTTCTAGTTTTTTGAGAAGTGTCCATATTGTTTTCCAAAAAGGTGCCTGAAACACTCTCTAGCTGTTTACACCCAGGAATGGTCCTGATAAATCATGTAGAAATAGTTGTCATTTTTTTTTGTAGTTTTTACCCAGTAACCTAAAGAATAAACTCAGCACAATTTCATTCATTTAAAAATTCTATATCGTTTTTGCTAATTGATAATGTATAAGTGTAAAATTTAACAAACACTATTTCCTTCTATAGTTAACTTATGTTTCAACTTTTGTCTTGAATCTAGAGAATGCCTTTCTATCCTGCATGTAATTCAGAAGAGCAAAGGTGAACAGCAGTTCTTTTATGAGTTTGAGGGAGGTGTCAAGCTGGGAATAGGTGCCTTTAATCTGGTAAGTAAATGATTAGAAATTGTTTTGTTAAAAATAATTAAAGGTTATTAATTATTAACGATAATAATATAGGAGCGATAGCACAGCAAGTAGGGTATTTGCCTTGCATGCAGCTGACCCGGGTTCGATTCCCAGGATTCCATTTGGTCCCCTGAGCACTACAAGGAGTGATTCCTGAGTGCAGAGCCAGGAGTAACCCCTGAGCATCGCTGGGTGTGACCCAGAACGCAAAAATAAATAAATAAATAAATAAATAAATAAACAAAGGTTTAAAGCACCAAAATACTTTTCTCTAATGCATTTGATACTCACATAGAATCTCTAATTTGATTTGATTACCACTTAATTAGAATGGATGACTTTCTCTGTGTATGACTCAACAGGGCCTTTGGTCAGTATGTGATAGATTACTGCATGCACTCAGGGTATATACCAAAAGATAAGAGTGTAACACTAGGGGCCTGAGAGATAGAACAGTGGTTTTTGCAGTAGGTTGACCAGTGTTTGATCCTGGTCCCCCATATGGTCCCCCATCATCACCAGGAGTGATCCCTGAGCAGAGAGCCAGTCTGGCTTACTCCTGGTGTGGCATAGAGCCAGGTGTGGCCCCCAAATAAACAAACAACAACAAAAGAGCGCAACACTAGGGATGGATTGGTAATACCTTTGATTATAATGAGGTTGAATCAGTTCCATTTTCACCTCAGAAATACCGATGCTATTGTAATGGCATCTCTGGAATGGAAATTAGATGAAGCAGCAGTCATGTAACTTGAGGAATGATTTTGATGCTCTTGGGGGAGATGAGAAGTTTGAGTAGATAGATATCAAATTGCAATATGTTATTTGATATTTTAAAATATTTGCAAGCTTTGATTGCAGTTGGTGAGAAAACAAAGTGGTTGAGAGATTCCTGCCCTTGATTGTCACTATACTTACTTTGTTTATGAGCCTATGATGGGAGAGCTGGAAAAGTATCTGACCCGTACTTGCAGAGCTGGTTATCTTATCCACTTAATTATGAAAATGCTCTTCTTCCAGGGATGACTTTGGTGGATATTTACATGGGACAAATACATTTTCAAGTTTTTCACTTAGAGAATTTCATTCAACTGCCTCTTTTCCAGACCTTCTTGTCATCAATGTTCCTGTATGTTTCTTCCAAATCCCTGACCGTTATACGTGGGTCTATCTCTCCTTTTAAGTAAAGTGAATAGCCAGGTACAGTGCTCAGAACTGCTGGAAAAATTTCCCTTCACCATAGTTCTTCACAGATGTCTTAGAAAGAAGGTATGTCATAGCTATTCAACAGCTGTGCTTGCAGCTGTGTAGAGTGTGACAGACTTGCTTTCTGGAAGATGCTGAAAGGGACTTCATTTGAAGGAGGGCACTGAGGAATGCCTTCTTAGTTCTCATTGCGCCACATAAAAGGAGCATCTTCAGGGCATTCCTAAAGCAGCTGGTTATCCACACTGCCCCCTATAGCCCCCACCGCCCCCACCACACACACACCAATTTTGGATTCAGTTTGCCTTAGCAAGAGGAAATTAATTTGACTATGTACATAGTATCCAATGCTTGAGACATGTCTGGTGGTTTAAGTAAGTTTTCATATTGTTGAATCATTACAACTTTAAATTGTTAGGTGCTTACCATCTGCCTATAGTTATATAAACTAATCTCTATTGTATTTTTTCCCTTACAGATGCTGTCTCTTTTACCTGCACGAATTATCAGATTGCTTGAATTCATAGGATTTTCTGGAAACAGGGTACAGATGTAGTTTTATTTTTATTTTGATAAAAGGCCCTCCCGTTGATCATCGATTTGCTCGAGCGGGCCCAGTAACGTCTCCATTGGAGACTTTGTTGTTACTGTGTCTGGCATATCGAATACTCTCGGTAGCTTGCCGGGCTCTCTGAGAGGGGTGGAGGAATCGAACTCGGGTCGGCCATGTTGGCTGCGTGCAAGGCAGACGCCCTACCCGCTGTGCTATCGCTCCAGTGGCTGGAGCGATAGCACAGCGGGTAGGGCGTTTGCCTTATTTTGATAGATCAGTCAAAATTTATTGAATACACAGACAGTGCAACATGTTCTAGCATCAAAAAATAATTGCAAATTTGCAAATGCAGTTGTTAAGACATGGGAATTTGAAGGATGATAACATTACTCAATATTATTTTTCAGGAGATATATGTTTGTGTTACATACACACGTACATATAGTTTTTCTAATGAAAGTTAACATTTCAACTTTGTTCCTTAATTCTGGAATTAAAAATTATTTTGTACTTCTATTATTGCTTACTAGATCTTTAATATTCTTGTGTGGTTAAAATGTTTCAATCTTTTTACAACTCAGTGTTTTACACCAGGAAATTAAGCTAAAAATCACAACTTGTATAATTGGCATTAGTCATCATGTAGTTGCAGGATATTGGGGTTTTCTTGTGTTTTACAAGTTTTACTGTGAAACAGCGAGGATGTTTGTCTTTTACTTTTGTTCATTATTTTTGTGTGCAACTGTTTTGCAGTACGTTATTACATTTATTAGTTTTAACTCTCAGTGTGTATTTACCAGGGTAGCTGTATTATAAAATTGTTCCTCTTGTGTTATCGAGAGTAGTTTTGTGGAAATATATAAGAGCATGTACAAGAAACTTTATGTTTTTTCTCACATTTATTCCATTGTTAATCATAAGATTTTGGTATTTATGGTGTTGTCTCTTTCTCTGTTCTTTCTCTTCTGACTCTGAATTTCATGGTTACTTTCCCCCCTCGACCTCTTTATTCTTTAGAGGTTCCAAATTCTCTTGAATAAAGTCCATAATATAGTATGGTTTCAGGGCTCCCTATCTTATTTTAGCCAGTGTTTTGGCTTCTCCTGTGCTTCTTCTGAAATGAGCAATTCTTTATATCCACAAACAGACCTTGTGCTTTTCTGATTTCATGCTGTTGCTGGATTTTTTTGAATACCCTCCCCAACTAGCTTCTTCCCAAAGAATGTGGGAACTTGTCCATGCTTTACTTTTGAGATAAATGTCCTATTTCCCACATAACTTTCCCTTCCTCTCCCAGTGAGTTTAAGCATTTCTAACACTCAGAACAATTCATGCTTCTTTATTATATTCACCATATTCTAATGAAATCATTGAGGCACATACTGTACTACCTTTTGATGGAAAAATCATTGAAGATAGACTATGGTTCATAGTGTCTTGTACTTAAATCCCAACATGAATTATTAAGTCAGTACACAGCGTTTCTGTGAAATGATGATTGTCTTTTCTTTCACTCAAATCACATTATATGAAAGAATTTGTGAGATAGATACTAAATTAAAATATAAACCGATAGCACAGCGGCAAGGCGTTTGCCTTGCAGGCAGCTAGCCCGGCCGAGCCAGGTTCGATTCCTCCGCCCCTCTCTGCGAGTCCGGCAAGCTCCCGAGAGTATCTCGCACGGCAGAGCCTGGCAAGCTACCCATGATTGATGTATTCAATATGCCAAACACAGTAACAACAAGTCTCAAAAAAAAAAAAAATGGAGACGTTACTGGGCCCGCTCAAGCAAATCGATGAACAATGGGAGAACAGTGACAGTGTTTCTAATTAGGCCTTTTCTAGACTAAGCTCTTGCAAGATAATCTCCTCTTTCATGAAGAGTATATATGAATTGGCATTTTAAATATCTAAAATGCATTTCATTCCCACAGGAATTGGGCCTTCTGCAGTTACGGGAAGGTGCCTCAGGAATCAGCATGCGGTCTCCTCTGTGCTGCTTAACTATTCTTGCTTTTCACACTTACATCTCCTTAATACTTGGTAAGGATTGGAGTATATTTTGTGTCATTAAGAGTTGATTATCTTTCATTTAAGTAAAAAGTTAGAAAAAAATTAGTTAGAGCAGATGTCTCATATCTGTTCACCTCTGGTAAAAGAGGTAGAGGATTTCTTTCATCGAATTTTTGTTTGTTTTGTTCTGGGATCACACCTGGCAGAGCTCAGAGGGCCAGGTGGTGCTGAATATCAAAAGCATCACCTTGATCCCCCACAAGCAAAGCATGTGCTCAGCCCGTTGAGCGATTTCTCTAGCTCCTCACTGAACATTTTAAAACCCTTTATTGACTAAAAAAATTCTGTAAAAGTTTAAGGCAATTGATTTTAGCAAATTTATATTAGATGTCTTTTTAGTAGAAATTTAATTTTGTTTAAAATAAGATAAGAGGTAATGGACATAGCTCAACAGTAAAGCACTGACCTTGCATGTTTGATGTCCTGGGTTCAATCCCTGGCATTGCAAAAAAAAAGTTTTAGGTGTAAGTTAAAAAAAGTTTGAACTTACTTTAAAAATTTTAAAGTAAGTTAAAATTTTCTGTTAAAACTATCAGTATCAATTTCTGTCTATGCCAGAGCTGTTGCTCAGATATAAAAATGCCCAATTAGGCATCGTAAGATAACCACCTACGTTCTTATTATAATTAATAGGAATTAGCCTTCCCTTGCGTTGCAGAGTCCACTCATGGGCTGAGTGCAGAGGGAGGCTCTGGTTCTATTTCTGTCCCTGCCCAGTCCCCTGAGGAGCCCTGAGCACTGCCAGATGTGGCCATGAAACAAAGTGAAGAATTAGCCTGTCACAGAGCTGTTAAAAACCGATGTCGTAGCTGAGGCTTGTGTTACTTTATCTCCCAAATGTTCACAGTTCTCATCTTTTCCGCGGATGGGCTTTTGATATGTTGATAAAATTTGGAGAGTGATTATAAAGATCTGCCATGTTGTACGAACACTGAGGCTTTCCCTGTTAAATTTCTAGGCACAGGAGAAGTGAATGTCATGGAAGCGGAGAGTCTCCTCGCGCCTTTCCTCCAGCAGTTTCCAAATGTATGCTTAGAACCTCAAGTTCAAATTTCAGCCATGATCTGTCATCGGCACTGATGTTGAACAGTCGCTTTTCTTCCTTTCTCCCTAGGGCTCCCTCATGTTGTTTTACCATGCCCGGATACTGCTGCTGAAAGGGAATTTGGAAGAGGTAATTTGCTGGGGGAAGAGTTATTTACGCGTTGTCTCTGTCAGTGACCTTTGTCTATGCCAGAGCTGTTGCTCAGATATAAAAAGATTGAACAACTGGTTCAATATTTACATTGTGGAAACACATCATGTACTGATTCAGCCTAAATTCAGCACTGCACTAGGCAGAAATAAGACAGTGTAACTGCATAAAAATTAATTGTGCAACTGCATCCTATTACATATGGCATATTATCATATATAATTTATATGCTTATATATGTTTATAGTTTGCTTATATAAAGCACATTAAGCAGTTTGGGGTAGAATACATAAAATACAGCTAGGCAGTTGAAAAGATTGTCAGACTTTGACTGTTACTAATATCTGCATTAACCGCTGACTTTGGAACTCCACCTCTGCGTAACGTGTATTTCCATGATTCCACAAGCACATCCCATCAAAGAATTTACTAATTTCTTGAGAAAGAGTTGAAAAGTATTTTATGTAAATATATTTGCAGTCTTTTCCCTACATAAATGGGTCAAATGTGTAGTTTTTTTTTTCTGTTTTCTATTTTGGATATCTTGGATCTCTTTCCAGGTCAGTGTCGTTAAGCCTCCTCAAAGCTTTTATTCTCTTTTTATGACAGTTTTATTCTTTTAGAATGATATTCAAATTAAAGTGGTATTCTTATCACCATTTTTGCTATTATGAATAATATTATTTTAAATATCATTATGCATATACTTTTGTCCATAAGTGTACTGGTATATGATAGATTCTGATCATTAGGATTTCAGGGTCAAAAGATAACTGTATTTTGCTAATTCCAGTCAGATATCACCATTAACCTAGGCTATTCCAGTTTATAAAGGCTATTTTATTTTTTATATTCCAATTTATTTAAGGATATTCCAATTTCTATGAAGCTGTAAAAAAATTTTGTGATGTTTTTGGCCTAAATCTGCACATTATTTTTCCTGTTTTTAATTTTGCATATGTGCTGGTTGAAAATGATAATCTGATTTAGTAATACATATTTTTAAACTTATAAATATATTCATATATGTATTTACCATTGTGTAGATTTGTCTTTGATGTTACCTGTTCATATCTTTGCCAATTTTCCCATTGAATTTTTAAAATTTTTTTTAAGGTTTTTAAAAATAGTGTGATAAGGACAGTATTATATTTAGTGATATCTTCCCTCTCTCTAACTTTGCCTTTAACTCTTGCTTAATGTATGCTTTGCTTTTTAGAAATTCTGACTACTATTGTCTTTTCTTAAAATAATTCTGCATTTTACTTGAGATGTGATCTCCAGTCCCACTTCATAAAGATTTATAGCTCTCCTCACAAAATTGAATAGAGAGACAAAACTCAAACTATGTGTATATAAAACTATGTGTATATGTATAAGGAAGAGACTGTGGTGTTATGTTGAGAAGCTTAAAGAGTAATACTTTTGTTCTTTTTTTGTACAAAGTGTTTTATGTATTTTCCCATTAGGTTATTATCTCCTTATCTTATATCTGGATGATCAGCTTTATGCAATTGACTTATAGGCACAAGAGACATTTCGAAAATGCATTTCTGTTCAAGAAGAATGGAAACAGTTTCATCATCTCTGTTACTGGGAGCTGATGTGGATTTATGTATTCCAACAAAACTGGATGGAGGCATATTACTTTTCAGATCTGCTTTGCAAAGAGAGTAAATGGTCTAAGGTAATGAGCAGTGCTTTCATTAATATCATCTGTTTGCTAATTAGTGGCCAGAATGATTTTCATTTTGTGCTGTTGGTTCAGTATTATGACATTCACAGTGTTTTTCCCGTTCAGAGATTCTTTAAAAGAGAAAATGTGGAGCTGGAGTGATAGCACAGCGGGTAGGGCGCTTGCCTTGCATGTGGCCGACCCGGGTTCGAGTCTCAGCATCCCATACGGTCCCCAGAGCACCGCCAGAAGTAATTCCTGAGGGCAGAGCCAGGAGTAACCCCTGAGCATCGCTGGGTGTGACCCAAAAAACAGTCCTCCCGTTATTCATCTATTTGCTCGAGCAGGCCCAGTAACATCTCCATTGGAGACTTTGTTGTTACTGTGTTTGGCATATCGAATACGTCACGGGTAGCTTGCCATGCTCTGCCGTGCGGGCGAGATACTCTCGGTAGCTTGCCGGGCTCTCCGAGAGGGGTGGAGGAATTGAACTCCTGTGGGCCATGTTGGCCACTTGTAAGGCAAACGCCCTACCGCTGTGCTATCGCTCTAGCCCTACCACCCTGAACGCGCCCGATCACGTCTGATCTCGGAAGCTAAGCAGGGTCGGGCTTGGTTAATACTTGGATGGGAGACCCAAAAAGCAAAAAAAAAAAAAAAAAAAAAAAAAAGAGAGCGAGAGAGAAAATGTGGCTTAATTATTAATTGTTCATAAATATTGTTGTTTCTCCTTTTCTAAAAACCATCCAGAGTTTTCAGGGAAGAGGTGAAGATGAAATTCACTTACATTTATATCTTATTAACTATCAGTAGTTCCAGCATTTTTTGGTAGCCTTTTCAATGTCCTGATAATAAAGTTTTGTTTATATTAGTCAAAATTTATTCTGATCTGTTTGTTGGAGGTTGGGAGAAGTTAGATAATGGCATTCTCTTGCTCATAATCGTTGTATGATAATGAAAGTTAAGTGGGAACTGTTTTCCTCCTATGAAATAGTCATACTTTATTTCCTTTTGTTTCTTTTTTTTAAAGCTACATCTATTATTATTATTTTTGGTTTTTTTCTTTTTGGCATTTTGCTAATTAGTGGCCAGAATGATTTTCATTTTGTGCTGTTGGTTCAGTATTATGACATTCACAGTGTTTTTCCCATTCAGAAATTTTTTAAAAGAGAGAATGTGGGGCTGGAGTGATAGCATAGCGGGTAGGCCTTGCCTTTTTGGGTCACACCTGGCGATGCTCACAGGGGTTACTCCTGGCTCTGCACTCAGGAATTACTCCTGGCGGTGCTCGGGGGACCATATGGGATGGTGGGAATTGAACCTGGGTCGGCCGTGTTCAAGGCAAACACCCTACCCACTGTTCTCCAGCCCCCTTTTGTTTCTTTTGTGCCCCTTAATTATTGTATCTGGAGGATTTGTTTCTGACTCCTGATTTGCATATCTGTCATATACAGAGGTCTATTTTATAACTTGCAGCTTTCCTTCTTTTCCTCAAGGCAACATATGTGTTCTTAAAAGCCGCAATTTTGAGTATGCTTCCAGAGGAGGATGTGAAAACAACTAAAGAGGATGTGGTGACATTGTTCAGGTAATCAGAGATACTGAATGGGGGCTCAGAATATAGCTCAGTGGTAGAACTCTTTCTTGCCTTACATGTCGGGGCGGGGGATGGGTTAGGAGGCGGGATCAGGTGCAAATCCCTAGCACTTTGGGAGAAAGAAAGAAAAGATTCTAAATGTGTAGAGGAGCATAAAAATACATCTTTATTTTTCTCTCTGTTCTCTTATGCTTCACTTTCCTGTTTTATCTATTTATTACTCACTTACACAGGAACCCTTAAAACAGTACATTTAGCCCAGAATCGTCCTTTATGTAGGATTTTGCAGTATGTGGACGTGATGGGGAATCTTGAAAACACATTCATTTTTATTTTGAAATTGTGGCTTTGCTTCCACATTTTGAACAGTTACCATTGCAGTACATTGTGAGGGCACTGAGGCACTAAGGGATTATCTGGAGCACTCCAGGGGTGCTTGGAGCCCTCCAAACTGCACCTGGCAGTGCTCAGGATAGCATGCAGTCCCTGAACAAACGGGTTGGCCAATGCAAGGCCTGTGCAATCTAGACCAGTGCTCATTCATGCATCCATCTGTCTTTGATGTGAAGCTTTCTTTCATGTGTCAGCTGCTGGATAAACAGGTGGAACTGTCTTTGTGGAGTGTATAATCTTGTGGTGGACAAGAAAATAAAATAATGAAATAATCATACAAATGTAGCACTGTCCTCCCGTTGTTCATCGATTTGTTCGCGTGGGCACCACTAATGTCTCCATTGTGAGACTTGTTGTTACTGTGTTTTGCATATCAAATCCATCATGGGGAGCTTGCCAGGCTCTCGCATGTGGGCGGGATAGTCTTGGTAGCTTGCTGGGCTCTCCGAGAGGGGCGGAGGAATCGAACCCAAGCCAGCTGCGTGCAAGGCAAACACCCTTCCCGCTGTGCTATCACTCTAGCCCAATCATACAAATGTATGATTATTAATTAATTCCCTCCTTCCTTCTACATTCTTTTCTTTTTCATTTTTTTCTTTTTGAGTCACACCAGAGATGCTAAGGGGTTATTCCTGGCTCTGCACTCAGGAATTTTACTGTTGGTGGTGCTCGGCGAACCATATGGGATGCCAGGGATTGAATCCAGGTTGACCACATGCATGACAAATGCCCTACCCACTCTACGACTGCTTCAGCCCCACAATTTTTCTTAATAGTTTTGTAGGTCTATCCTATTAGCTACTTTATCCAGGTATTAATGTTGATGCATTTTGTTATGAAGGTCAATTTTAGCAAATCTTCACCAAACCAAATTTAAATCTTTAGGTCAGACCCAATAACGGAGCCAGACCCAGATCCCCAGCTCTTATTTGTCATCTTCGCTCATGCCAAATATGTTCTTCTTCCAACAGTCATCTTCATGTGCTTAGGATTTCACTTACAAATTGTCAGAAAAAGTTTGCAAGCAGGATGTTGTCATTCACTGATTATTTCCAAACTCACTTAATGCTTGGGAAACATTTTCTAAATTATGATGATGTGGCTCCAGAGTTAGCTGTTAATTAATGTTAATTGATGGAGGGCCCCCTCATTAATGAAATTTGCCAATTTTATGTCTAGATTTTGTGAACTATGTTGGATAGGTTAAGAAGATTAACTAGAAAGAAGTATGTGTCAATCAGTGGCACTCACAATTGAGCTAGTATCAGAATTGCCTGGAGAACTCATTAAAATCTAGTTATTTGGCCCAGTCCTAGAATTACAGATTCAGTAGGTCTAGAGTAGAGCCTAAAAATGTGCTTTTGGAACAAGTTTCCAGGTGACGCTGGGCTGCTGGTGTGGGGACCGCAGTGCTGACTGTGTTCTAATGACCTTTCACTGGGGCCGGGCTCTTCACAGACAGGTGGATGGCTTGAAGCAGAGAATTGCTGGGAAATCAATTCCTACTGAGAAGTTTGCTGTGAGGAAGGCTCGCCGCTATTCCGCCTCCTTGCCTGCACCTGTGAAACTCGTCTTGCCTGCCCTGGTATGCACATCTAACTTCGGCCGTAAAGTTTAGCTCTGTGAAAAACCACTATCAGTGTGTTTGCCAGGTGTAAAGTAATGGGAAAGTTAGGAATCATTAAGTAACACTTGGAACTAGTGTCTTTTGACTACTTGGTATGAAACTATTTAAAAGTATGCAATTTTATAGAGACAGTTTTTAATTTCACTTAATGTATTATGTACTAAATTCTCTTTGTGAGGATTTTCTTTTTGGTAGCCTCATCTAACAGGTCAGGCCATTAAGGGGTGAGTCAACATAATTGAGATTGAATTGAACAGCAATACAAACCACATCTGTAGTTTGCCCTTTTCGAGGAGCTGCATTAAATATCAAAGGGAGGATCTGGTGAGACTATTTGACGGTGTACACAGCCAAACGCTAGTTCAGTCACTGGCATCACATATGTATGGTTCCCCAAGCACTGCCAGGAGTGATCCCTGAGCACAGAGTAAGGAGTAAGTCCCATGCATCTCTAGGTATGGCACCAACCCTCCCTCCCCACAAAAAAAAAAAAAATCAGAAGATAAACTACCAAGAAAAGGAGGAGCTGGAGAGAGAACAGCGGGCAGAGCACTTGCCTCGTACACGGCTGACGTGGGTTCAGTCCCTGTCACACACATGATGCCCTGAGCCTTGCCAGGAGTGATGTCTGAGCACAGAGCCAGGAGTTAAGTCCTGAGCATGGCCAGTTTCGAGTTGAATCGTGAGCATGGCCATTTGGGTCAAGCCAGTTTTCCTCCTTGAAATTTCTAATTTCAGTTTAGGTGTTCTCAATGCAGGCCTGAAGCGGTATGAAATATGTCAGATTAGCATAACTCTTTGGGACTTTAGTTTTGTTAGGTAGGTACATAAATAGCACCAGGAGCTGTTTACTGTCCACTGACATCTGCTGCCCTCCTCTGGGAGCTTCTGGTTTTTCATTTATTTTTATAGTCCAGAATACAATTGTTTTTCTTTGACAGTGATACAGTAATGTAGTTGTTTCCAACTTTTACCATTACAGACATACTGCAGTATATCTTTTTTTTGGGGGGGTGGGGGGCCACACCTGGCTATGCATAAGGGTTACTCCTGGATTTGCACTCAGGAATTATTCCTGGCGGTGCTCAGGGGACCATATGGGATGCTGGGAATCAAACCTGGGTCAGCTGCGTGCAAAGCAAACATCCTACCCACTGTGCTTTCACTCCAGCCCCTACAGTGTGTCTTTTATAGCCTTCTTTTTGTATGTGTATTTCTCTGGAAAATATTTCTAGGGATTCAATTCTTGGTTGAATGGCATATTAATTTAATATTTTGACGTATTGCCGCTTGCCCATTATAAAAATGGCCCAATTAAAATTTTTCCAACAGTGTTTAAATGTTTTCATTTATATTTCTCCTTTAGTATGGAGGGAAAATGGAAAACTCATCTTCCTAATTTTTTCACTGGGTTTCTTGTCGCTTTCTAACTGACTTAGAGAATCACACTTCTTTCTCTCTCTCTGTAGTGCCAGAGATCGAACCCACAGCCTCACACATGCAAGTAGGTGCTAGAGCCCTGGCCCAGCTCTTTATATATCGTAGGAGAAAGAAAACTGCAGCACTGACAGAGACCAGGGAGGTTGTAGATCTGTGCCTAGTACCTAGACTAGGGTGATCCTTACTTCAGATCATTTCAGAAGACATCATAGACTAGAGTGTTCTGTGCCTAGAAGGAAATGAGATAGACGCGTGAGCCCTTGAACAGAGATCAAAACCCTAATCATCTTCGAAATAACAAAAATGAACATCCCCTTGCCAGGGTACCACATGAACCCGTTGCTGCTTTTCCAGTTCCAGCTTGAGCTCCATTCCTCAGTCTTTGCTGTCAAATGATTTGTACTGGAATCTTTTTTTTTTTTTTTAACCTATGTCATCCAACTTGCTTGAAAAATTTCTAGGGGCCTCACAAATGTTTCTCTGCTGTAGAACTTAGAGGCTTACGTGCATAAAACTATATCCTGCCTTTATTATCAGGGAGGGGGGGTGTGGATGATAGGGCTTCCCAAGCAGTTCTGGACTGGGGGTTGCCTGGCCTCTCCTGCCTGGACTCAACTGGCTATGTGGTACCGCTGGCTGTAGTGATGCTGGAGCCATGAGCCCCAGCAGCAATATCTGAGGGCTTCCAGATGGTGCTTGGGTGACCAGACAGAGCCGGGGATTGAACCTGGAACTTCTGTGTGCCAGACTTGGACTTCAGCCCTCTGAGCTCTCTCCTGTCCCCTCCCCCCAACCCCACGTTTAATTATTAAGAATCTCATGAAAGGTTAACTCAGCACCCTTTTTTCTCCAGGTCTATGGTATAGAATTGGTTCGAATTTGTAGTAACTAGGAATTTTACCAAAATCTTATCCTTCCCCCACTTTGTTTCGGTGGGGGTGGTCCCAAGCAGCACTCAGGAGGCTCAGGGCCCCCACCAACAATTCTGAGCCAACCGAACTGTAGGTTCAATATAAGGTGCCCAGGACGCAGTGCTGCTGGGAACCCCCCAGTGGCACTTGGATTATGTGGTGCCAGAATTGAAGTCAGGTTCAGGCGTATGTTATGCAGACACCCTAATCAATGCTATCTCCCAACTCCTCAAAATTTTACTGGGTTTGTTTGTTTGTTATGGGCCACACCTAGTGGTGCTCAGGGCTGACTCCTGATACCATGCTTAGGGAGCACTCTTGGCAGGCTTGGGAAACTGTATATGGAATGTCCGGGATCAAATGCTGGTCAGCCATGTGCAAGGCAAGTCCTGTGCCTGCTGTACTATCACTCAGCCCCTCAAAATCTTATTCTGAAATAAGACTCAAGCATGATATTCTTCTAATGAAATATCCCATCAGTAAACAAAGACACGTTTTGTTAAGTCTGAGGTGATAGCTCAAGGGTAAAGACCTGAGTCTGTGATACCCACACACATCCACACCCCCCTCACTCTCCGAGCACCTCAGGGGGTAGCCCTGGACTTCTGAGCATCAGACCTTAAGGTCCATTCTGCTGGGCTGAGCACTGCAGGGGCTGGCGCTGAGACTTCCAGTATCACTGAGTATCACCCTGCTAAAAGTAGCCCAAGTATTAATTAGATATTGTCACTGTCTCTGTCCTCCCGTTGTTCATCAATTTGCTTGAGCCGACCCAGTAACGTCTCCATTGTGAGACTTGTTGTTACTGTTTTTGGCATATCAAATACGTCATAGGTAGTTTGCCAGGCTCTGCCGTGCGGGCGAGATACTCTCGGTAGCTTGCTGGGCTCTCCAGAAGGGGCGGAGGGATCGAACCCGGGTTGGCCGAGTGCAAGGCAAATGCCCTACTGCTGTGCTATAATTCCAGCCCAATTAGATATTATTATTTTTTATTTTTTATTGCTTTTTGGGTCATACCTGGCGATGCACAGGGGTTACTCCTGGCTCATGCACTTAGGAATTACTCCTGGCAGTGCTCAGGGAACCATATGGGATGCTGAGAATCGAACCTGGGTCGGCCGCATGCAAGGCAAATGCCCTACCTGCTGTGCTATCACTCCAGCCCCTAATTAGATATTATTTATTAGTTAATATTTATTTTTGATTTCTTATCATCCTTAAGACTATTAACAAGTTTGAACAGTTAGGTGTAAAATAAAAGCACAAGCATTTTCATCTTAGTTTTCATTGCCATGAAGTGAAGGTGACTTTGCTGACACTCAAATGTATCTTTCTTATTTCTGCCACATCCCTGAAAAAAAGAAGCTTCTTAAACAGTATCTGTATTATATTTTAATATACATTTATTTCCAGGAATATACTAACTGCCCTGCTTATTTCCTTCCCCCTCAAAATATAAGCTGCACTACCAGGAGGATTAGAAAAATATTTTCAAGCAAAAGCACATTTGCTTTTGGTCCAAAAAAAATTCTCATCTGTTAGCCTATAAAATGTAATTTGCAACGCAAAATCATTAGTTTACATTTTTCAGGGCTGTCACTCAGCCATATGGCCTTTAAATGAATGTATTTTCTGCATCTTGGATTGCATTACTGGACTGTCACATATTTTTAATGGTATGAAAGAACCTGTGCCCAGTAAAATATTTCCTATGTTCATTTCCAGTGATGTTCATGGAAGCATGTTTTATAAACAAACGACAGTATTTAAAAAAATTTTTTTTTACTTAGAAATAATAACAAAGCACCAGAGATGACTCAACTGCTGGAGAGTCTGGGTTCCATCCCTGACACCGCATGGTCTCCTGAGCATCTACGATGCCCTGAGCCAGGAGTAGTCTCTGAGTACCCATTCGGTGTGGACTACAAAAAACAGACAAAAATTAGGAACAACAAAACTTCCATTAACTTATTCATAGTGTTAAAATATTTAGTCCTGTACATCTCTGTTATTTTCCTAAGGGATTAAAGATGTGGAGGTACTAGTAACTATTTGTTAAATGTGCATGTAAATAATTTTCAGTACAAACATAAGATTTCAGGTATTGAATTATTTCACAGCCTCAAGTCAAAAGGTGCATGACAAAATGAGAAAAGGGGAAATTATATTACTAAAATTCAAATGAGAAAAATTCAAATGGGAAAAGCAGATTGGCAGAATGTTGTCTTGAGTTCCCTAGCAAGTGAAGGCAAAACATACAGATGTAGTTTGTCATTGAGAAGGACAGTGAGTGATCGCACTTAACTGTAAGTGATTTTCCATTTATCCTCATTAGGAAATGATGTACGTCTGGAATGGTTTTCCAATAGTGAGCAAAAGAAAGGATCTGTCTGAAAATCTGTTGGTAACCGTTGAAAAGGCCGAGGCAGCTTTTCAGAATGCAGGTAAGTATGAGAAGAGCCCGGAACTTGTTACCTCTGCCACTCTTCTGTCCTCTCCCCAAACCTCTGTCCTTACTAATTTGGGCTGCATGTAAAATAGACCTTCGTGATCATAATAGATGAAGGAACACACTGTAACGGGTAGACCAGGGGCATAGCAAGCAGAGAAAGGAGGCTCTGGAAAGAACTGCATATTGTATGATTCCATTAGTATGAAATATTGGCAGTATTAGAGCAATTTGAAAATGCAGAAAGCAGATCAGTGATTGCATAGGGATGGGAGAACAAAGGACACAAAAGAAGTGAAGAGCAAGCCATTTCTTTTGGGGCTGATGAAATGTCACAGAATTGATTGTGATGATGGTCACACAATTTTGTAATCTACCAAAAGCCAATCAATGATATATATTTTAAATGGGTGAACTGCATGGTTGTACAGTTTTGTAAGTTACAACTTAAAGCTGTTTACAAAAACTATGAAGGGAGGAATATGGTTGAAACAGGAAAACATGTACTCTTCCAGTTTTAGTTTGATCTTTCCTTGCTTCTTTTTTTCTCTTTCCAATGACGACTAATGCTCTTTGCAGACATAGAGAACTGTTTGTTCTCAAGCTGGAGTCTTACCACAGTTCAGTTTTTCATTCTATTTGTGGTATAGTAGAGGCCCCCTCCAGCTCCTGGAAACTCCATTTACTGGAGGGGCAACTGGCAGAATAAAGGAAAATCAGGCAATCTAGGCCTATGCACCTCAGATCTGCAACTGTGTGACTCAGAACAAACCTCATCATTCTGAGCTTTAAAAGCTTTTAAGATGGGAAATGTATTGTACTAGATTCCATGTTCCCAAACTTATTTGGAGCACTCTCCTTTTCAGAAAAAGAAAAAAAAATTACTAAACATCTCCCCCTCCCTGGCAATCTACCATCTGAATGACCCAAACAAATAGATAACGCCCCCAATTGCACCCAAGGCTACTTCTCCCCCTCAGTCATGTCCAAGCCCACCAGGAGGCCATTTTCTCCCGCTCTGGATAAAAAAGGACTGGATAGTATTCTTAATTTTCTAATTAAGTATAATTTATAGAATTATTTTTAAAAAGTAAAATAGACATAATGATAGAGTTTCTTGTATTCTTTATCACTGTATCCTGTTGTTATTTTGCCAAGAGTATGCTCTAAACACAAAAATACAGTGAGTATCTTGGTGGTGATAAACATGATAAAGGATATAGAGGTTCAGGAATGGTCAGGAAAAACAACAGTAAACTCATTTTTCTCAACTAGAAAATGGGAATGAAGAAAAAAATTAGTTGTTAGTTAGTTAGTTAGTTAGTTTGTTTGGAGGCCACAGCCAGCAGTGCAGAGGGTTACTCCTGGGTCTGCACTCAGAGATCACTCCTGGAGGGCTTGAGGGATCAAATGGTAGACTGAGGATTGAACCTGGGTCAGCTGTGTTCAAAGCAAGCGTTTACATGCTCTGTGGTTCCAACGAGAACGTTTATTCTTGACATTCTCATCCTCTGGGGGATAAATTATTGAATGTATTGCCATAGATAAGGACCACATTTGTGCATATTTTACTTTGAGCTGCAGTATGAGTTTGAGGTGTTTTTGTGTTGTTGCTTTTTTTTTTTTCTCCAACACCTACCAATGCTCAGGTGTTGCTCTGGGCTCAAGAATTATTCCTGGCAGTTCTTGGGGACCATATGGGATGCTGGGGATTGAACCTGGGTTGGCTGCATGTAAGGCAAATGCCCTACCCATTGTACTATCACTCTGGCCCCAAGATTGAGTGTTTTTTTTTTTTTTTTGAAGAAGCACTGTGAGGGCAGGGGTATTCTCCCCAAGCTGTGCTTATGAGACCTAGGGCCCTTCTTGGCAATTCTCAACCACCTGGATTGGCAGTTCAATGTGAGGGTCCGAAAATGCAGTGCTACTTGGCCTGGGGTGTCAAGGGTTACCCAGACCACCTGGGTGATGTTTGGGGCTTCCACAGCTTCATCTGGCAATACTTGGGGAACCATGCAGTGCCAGGAATTGAATCGGGGCCCTCTGTACTATTCTCTGTGGCTTTGAGGTTGAAATTTTGAATGACCTTTTTTTCTATAAAAATGTAAAATATGTAATTACAGTTGATGTAAAAATTTTTCAGAAGTCATCTATATTTTTGTTGCACAGAGAATTTAGATCTTTTTGTGTTTTCTATCTCAACCTTGCTTTATACTTATAATCATGTTATAGCTGGACATCATTAAAGTATAATTGATGATAAGTTATCAGTTTCATGGGTCATTAGATATATATTAGGTATAATATGATAATTAGATATTTGTATAGATTAGGAGGTGAATCATATAAGTTAACATCTTTCCATGCAGTTACAAAATGTTATTTTGCAGTGGGAAAGCTCTATTTCCTTAGATGAGGCTGTGGATTCCATCACCAGGGTGACACATGCACGCAAAAGCAGAGTTTGGTTATACTATTTATAGTACTAGATGGTAGAGGATAGTGTTAGTGTTTCGTATTGATTTCCAGTAGCCCTTTGTTTGAAATCTCACTAAATTGTAGGCAGAAATTGGTACAGGAGTTCTACTTGGACCATTTATTGCAGTTAGTTAGCTTAGTGAATTTTTATGGCAAATGTAATCAGTGTTACATAAAAGGGAAGTGTTACTTTGGTTTTTCACTTTTCTATTTCCAAATCTTTCCTTTGGTGCATTGCAACTAGCTTTTAAAAGACTTTGCTGCTGATATTTTCACCATCTGAGAGCTTCAAGCTTTCTTTTTTCTCCACCTCTGTTTTATTAGGTTCAGCAGATCTTTCTTTGCTGGTAAAAATCTGCCTTGGCAGCTTCATCGTATAATGTTCTTGGAATAGAAAATGGAAGTTGTGTTAAAATGTTCATCCATGAACTCACTCAGGAGGTTGAGAATCAGGATAATGTGTCATGTTTTAAGGGAAAATAATAATATGATTGTGGTCTCAGGAAAAGAATTTTTTTGCTTTCAAAGGCTTGGGGACAAATGTTATTTTAAAATTTTGTTTTCCTTGTCCCCAACTCATAACACAGATAAAAATTAAGCGTCGCTTTATTGATTCTTTTGCTTTCTATGGCGTGTGTGTTGCTCCACCTACTTGCCACTCACAGAACACCAACATGGTATGGAAACACAAACTGGCATCAGTTGCGGCACAGAATGCGGTAGAAGCCCCCCCAAATGATACTGCTTCTGGAATGTGTGATTTGTGGTGCATTTGTAATTAGGAGCAGGGATAGATCCTTTTTGGAGCAGGTGTAGAAAAATGCTTCTTCATAATAGGAAAGGTATTGTGGTATTGAAATGTGTAAGTTTTCTGTTGGATGGCGTATTGGATCTTGGAAGTGTGAGATGAAAAGCAGCGGTAGTGAGTGAGTTCCTTCTGACTGAGATGCCACATTGTTAACTTCCCAGGGATGAGCGGCTTTCCCACTCAAACACCAGATTGTGTTCCTTGTGCTTCCTGAGTTTGCACAGCCAGCAGGAGGGTTTAGTCTGAGAGACATTCATTGTCTTACTGACCCTCCCCACCTGGGTTGTGACCTCCTGAGGGGATAAATAATCAGTCAGTCTTTGAATGGATCTTAGTTCTGTGCCCCTTGGGAAAAAGAAAAGAAAAAGAAAGAGGGAAAGAAGGAAGGAAGGAAGGAAGGAAGGAAGGAAGGAAGGAAGGAAGGAAGGAAGGAAGAGAGGGAGGGAAGGAGGGAGGGTGGGGAGGGAGGGAAGGAAAGGAAGAAAGGAGAGAGAAAGAAAGAAAAAGAAAGAGAAAGAAAGAAAGAAGAAAGAAAGAAAGAAAGAAAGAAAGAAAGAAAGAAAGAAAGACACCCTACATTTTCACAAGTGGTAGATGAGGAGCAGCCGCCCTTTGTCAGATGTCACATAATATGGCTCCCTCTGTTTAATATTCTGTTGCCTTGGGCTGTGGAAGGCAAAGAGCTATTTTCAAAAAGGGGAAAAGTGGTGAAATAAAATTCTTACATTAGCCTCAAGCAGCGGGAAGTTTGGGAGGAGTGTAGGCACCTTACATACTTCCGAAGCATTTTGTCTGATTTTATAACATAGCTCCCTCCACCCACCCCCAGGAACATAATCCGGGAGAATTGATAAGTTGTAAACATAATGATCTGAGAGGGTATTCTACCTTCTGAATTCTGAGTGGTTACAAGGCCATCTGCTTCTCCATATGGAAGTGCAGTCCTCTATCGCTGAAGCCAGCACTGTTAGGAGCCAGGAGCCAGGAGCCAGGAGGGGGCAGCCTTCTTGCTCCTCGTGGCTTTACCTTTTATAGAATGAATAAACCTCCTCTTTAGAGTTCTGATTTCCTGTGGTTGCAGCTAGCATCACATTGATTGCTTGCAAAAAAAATGTCTTTAATAGCTAGAGTGAACTGTTTAATAAAACGGTGCATTCATGTAGCAAATTCAATATTCTTTCTATGGAATATATCTTCATGTATTTTGTTTAGTGAGACAGAACAAATGCTAAAAATATTTTTCTTATTTGCAATGATTCCTGTGAAACCTAATAGTCATTTAGGTCTTCCTCCATACAAGGTTTTTTCATCATACGGTATTGTGTGTGTGATTCTTGTCTGTCTTGCTTTAAGACCTCAACGACTACTCTGTGGATGACGAATGCTTAGTGAAACTGTTGAAAGGATGCTGCCTGAAGAATCTACAGCGGCCTTTGCAAGCGGAATTGTGTTTCAATCACGTTATCCAAAGGTGAAAGTGAATTCCGTCTTGGGTGCAGATCATGGGTAGGGCGGGGAAATCGAGAGAGAAAGTTTGATCCCCTAGTTAGTCTTTTACCTTAAGCAGAATCCAGGAGAGTTTTTGATCTTTGAGAAGAATGTTAGAGTCTAAGTTAGAACATGACTGTATCCTTTTTTATGCATTTTCTCTTGACTTGATTTAAAGGTGACACCCCCAAACTAAATGCATGGCCTGGATAACAACTGGTTTTCATTTAAACTCCAGAGGTGTTACCTTTTCTTCTTTTTTAAATCTCCCCACATTTGTGATTCATGCACATTTTTTAAAAATTCAGGCACCATGATTTATAATACTGTTAGTGATTAGGGCTTCATGCACAACACACTCTCTGTCAGAGTGTCCACTTTCCTCCACGGTCCTCTTTCCAACACCTCCACTCCCCTCTCCTGTGGTAAGATTTACTAAAGACCAGTTTTCTGTTTCTGTTGCCTTTGGGTATTTGTTGTATAATGATTCGGTTTTTTTTATATCCCAGTCGTGAGAGAAATGTGTCCTTTCCCTTCGAACTTCATCTAGCATGACACGCTACAAATCCCAGTGATGCCCTTTTTCATTGATACATTTATTTATGCGTTTATTTATTTATTCTGTAGTTTTTAAACTTCCATTATGTGCCAGAGATCATGCTGGGTCCTAAGGATTCATATTTGTGACAATAAATTGTCAAGGAAGGCATATTATACACACTGTAACAGTTTCTGTTTGGGCAAGGGGCATATCTTCTGGCTGTAAATGAGGGTGATTTTTTTCCCCCACCAATAATATTAATGATGATGTATCCTGTTCCTTTAGTTAACAAAGTCAAATTCAGGTTCTGATGTCTATATACTATATACTATATACTATATACTATATACTATATATATAGTATATATAGTATATATAGTATATATAGTATATATAGTATATAGTATATAGCTACTAGCCCTCTATATACTAGCCCTCTTCTCTCTGTCTGAGGTTACAAATGTAACTTTTCACAACTGCCTTACTGAATGATGGCAGGAATAGGGATTGATGGACACTAGAGATTTGGGAGAGCATATGTATCTAATCTCCATTTGCTCCAGTTAACTGTTCTGAAAATGTAGGCTCTGTAGCAATAATTGCTATAATTTTTTAAAAATTGCTTTAATTTTTGATGAAAGACCTGAACTCTCGATTTTTTTTTTTTTGCATAAGATCTGTAGATTTTTCTTTTTTAGCAACAACTACAAAACATTATTGTAGTGATTAAAGCTCCACTTTATTTTTGTTCTGTTTTCTGATTTGGGGAAACATACCCAATAGTACTTAGGGACTATTCCCAGCTCTATGCTCAGGAGTCACTCATGGAGCTGTTTGGGGGACGAAACAGCTTGTTCATTCAGTGGTGGTGGGGATCAGAGCTGGGCTTCCTGCTCTCACTCAGTCATTGCTCTCCCCAGCTCAGAATCTGCAGATTTTATTTTATTTTATTTTATTTATTTATTTTGCTTTTTGGGTCACACCCGGTGATGCACAGGGGTTACTCCTGGCTCTGCACTCAGGAATCACCCCTGGTGGTGCTCAGGGGACCATATGGGATGCTGGGAATCAAACCCGGGTCGGCCGCGTGCAAGACCTACCCGCTGTGCTATTGCTCCAGCCCCAGAATCTGCAGATTTTAATATATTGACTCAACTATTTTGAAAACTTGACAAATCAAATAGATAATAGCCACCGACCATAAATTCACATTGTCTTTTCATTATCACATGCCTTTTGACCCAGGGTCACTGACCCCTTCTTTTTAATAATATTTTGTAAGAGGGTTAGAGGACTATTGTCCTTACAGAAGAAACAGATCATATCTGTTTCCTAAATAAGTACTGTTTTTAGTGAACATAGTGTTTATTTTTCTTCTATTTTAATGGTGTTTTTGTCAGAAGCAACAGGATGACTCATTTATACCATTTGTTGTGTTTACTAAACTCATGAATTGTTAGTTCATGTGTTTTGACACTTTTTCAAGGTAAGATCATTCAGTTGGGTTTTATCTTGAAAATACCAAGAGGCTAGCATTGATGAAGAGCCTAAAGTAATTTCAGCTTTGTTTCAACCAGGTTATTTAAAGACTTTTATAGTATAAGACCCATTCGCATATTAGTTCATTGCTCAGAGGTTTTTGGGTCACTTGGGAAATGTAAATTTGAGTTTCAGATTCAGATGAAATCAGGCCTACTGGTTATTAAATAACGTGTTATTTTATACAAACTGTGGACAGGCCACAGAGTCAGCTGTCTTTGTCTTTCTTTTTCTCCTGTGCCAGCAAGTAGGGCTTTTACCTTTTCTATGATGAACTAATTTCAAGGCCCCAGCTTTATGTGACGTCTTAGTCCTAGACATTTTAACTACTTGCCTAGACATCAGACACAAAGCCCTGCTGATTCAGGCTGAGCAAACCCTGGGGATCCTTTAGCATTAGCCGATATACTTCATTGGTTTGGTTTTTCATAATATTTCTGACTAAAGAAGTGTTAGCTATTTTCTTTTTTTTTTCTTTTTTATTTTTCGTAGAAAGTTAACTATATTTATTTTTTGCTTTTTTGGGTCATACCCGGCGATGCACAGGGGTTACTCCTGGCTCTGCTCTCAGGAGTTACTCCTGGTGGTGCTCAGGGGACCATATGGGATGCTGAGAATCAAACCTGGGTCAGCCACATGCAAGGCAAACGCTCTACCTGCTGTGCTATCTCTCCAGCCCCGTGTTAGCCATTTCCTTGCTGCTTTTTTTTTTTTTTTTGCTATAAGGCTTATTACAAAGAAAATTGAATTTTTTAAAAAATACATTTTTTTTTTGCTTTTTGGATGACACCCGGTGATGTACAGGAGTTACTCCTGGCTCTACACTCAGGATATAATCTGGGATCAAACCCAGGTTGGCCACATACAAGGCAAATGCTCTACCCACTGTACTATAGCTCCAGCCCCCAAAATAAGTTTTCTTTAAAAACATGATTATATTTGATTTGGTTTTGGGGTCACATCTAGTGGTGTGGAAGACTTACAACTCTCTATTAAGGGATCTTTCCTGGCAATGTTCAGGGAACCATATTTGGTATCAGGGATTAAACCAGCATTGACTGTACACAAGGCATCTAAACCCATGTACTATCTCTCTGCCCCCAGGTTTATTATCTCTAAAAGGAGTCATTTTTATAATACTTTTCTTTTGTTTTTTATTTTTTTGGGTCACACCCGGGCATGCACAGGGATTACTCCTGGCTCTTCACTCAGGAATTACTCCTGGTGGTGCTCGGGGGACCATATGGGATGCTGGGAATCGAATCTGGTTGGCCACATGCAAGGCAAACGCCCTACCTGCTGTGCTATCGTTCCAGCCCCTCTAATACATTTTTTTGGGGGAGGAGAACTTTGGTGCCACAAGCTGGTTGTGCTCAGGGGCCACTCCTGGCTTTGCTCAGAGGACCGTTTGTGGTGCTATAGATGGAACCCTGGTTGACTGCATACAAGATAAGCACCTTACCTGTCCCACAAATACATATTTTTAAGTGGGGCTCATCCCTGGTGCTGCTACTCCTGACTCTGCTTAGAGGTGACTCCAGTATTAGGGATCTAACCAAGGCAAGTACCTTAAGCCTTAAACTATTTGGCCCTGCCTAAATACATTTTTTCATCTTTACATATCCTTTCCAGGGTTAGCTAATCTTAGAAGATTTGCATGTATCCATTTGTCTCAGAAACAGTAAAGGAATCCTCAGTTCTTGAAGTTTTAAGAACTAAACTGTTGCCACACCATAGTTTATTAGATGTGTGTGTATTTTATGTTTGAAAAAGCCTGCCACGTGTCTTATTCTGTTAGTACTTAATTGCTTTTCATTTAATCTTTTAGTGAAAAGCTACTGAAGTATGACCACTACCTAGTGCCATTTACCCTGTTTGAGTTGGCATTTTTGTACAAAAACCAAGGGGAAATCGACAAGGCCATAAAGGTTCTGGAAACTGCCAGGTAAGTGATGATGGCTGGTTTTCCTCTATTGCTGTGGAGTCCCACAGGTCAATAGTTTCAACTTCAGTAGTACAATTATATCTCTAAAAGTAAAGACTTCAGTAAAAGTAATACTAATTACTAATTAGTATTAGTAATTAGTATTTTGCTAATTTATGCTAATTTATGCTAGTTTATGCTCATCTCTTGCTTTAACTGTATGGTTTCCAGCCTTTACAGTACCTGAAGCACTGTTGTGACTATTTACAGATGAGTTGATGGGCACCTGAGGAACAGATTTCTAAATCATTCTCTTTTATATCAAGGGTCAGCAAACTTTTTCAAGTAGTTGTCTCAGTTTTGTGCTGTAGAGTTTCTGTTACCACCTACCAATTCTAAGGAAAGCAGTGAAAAAAAAAATAGAAACTGTATAGATTTGGTCCATGAATTAGAATTTGCTGACTTTTGTCCATATTCAACTAAATCTTTCTTGCCTTGGAGGACCACGGATTTAAATAAACCCTTGAGTCTCCCCAATTCTCTTCTGTGTATTGTGAACATTTTAAAGCATTTTATTTTTTTATGAGGCTATCAATGACCTTTTTCTCCAGTTCTCCTTTTCACCTTCTGGCAGCCACAAATCTGATCTCTTTTTCTGTGAGTTTAATTGTACTTTAATTAGATTCTACCTGTAAACCACGAGCATGTGGTTTTTCTGTGTCTCTTTCTAGATTAATTAATTTAGCATAATGCCTTCAGGGCACATCCATGTTGTTGCATGGAAGTATTTACTTTTTAATTTTTTAATGGCTAAATAATATTCCATTATGTCTTTTAACCATAACTCCTACTGCCATTCATTTGTAGATGAGCATTTAGATTGTTTCCATATCTTGACTGTTGTAAATAATGCAGCTATGAATATCAAGATACGGGTATCTTTTGGAATTAGAATTTTTGTCTTCTTTGGATATATCTCCAGAAGTAGATCATATGATAGTACTAGCCCACGGTTTTTGTTTGTTTGTTTGTTTGTTTGATTTTTGGGTCACGCCTAGCAATGCACAGGGCTTACTCCTGCCTCATGTACTCAGGAATTAGTCCTGGGGGTGCTCAAGGGACCATATGGGATGCTGGGAATCAAACCTGGGTCCTCTGTGTGCAAGGCAAACACCCTACCCGCTGTGCTATCACTCTAGCCCCCAGCCCTACGTTTTTGAGGCATCTCTCTATACTGTTTTTCATAAATCTAGACCAGTTTACATTCCTATCAGCAGTATGTGAGAATTCCTTTTTCTCCACATCCTTACAAAAATGAATCTTTTAACTTTTTATATATATATGTATATATATTATATGTTTTCTGCAATGAGTGTTCTAACAGATGTGAGGTAATACAACATTGTGGTTTTTAATTTTATTTATTAATTTATTTATTTTGGGGGGAGGTTTGGGCCACACTGGCTGAGCTCAGGGCTTACTCCTGGTTACTCAGGGATCACTCCTGGAAGATTTAGAGAACTATATGGGATAGCAGGGATTGAACCCAAGTCTGCTGTATGCAAGGCAAACCCTACCCTCTGTACTATCACTAGCCCCCCGGTTTTCCTTTTCCTTACAGTTCTGTGATTTACAATATTGTTATTGATGGTTTCCTGTGTACATAGTTGCAGCACTACACCTATCAGCAACATGCCCACCTCCCTTCCCCAAGGACCCCATACACTCCTCCTTTTCAGCAATTCTCCCACCCAACTCAGTTGCTTGGAGCAGCGCTCATGTTATGATGCCTTTTACTCTTTGTCAGCATCGTGGTTTTAATTTGAATTTTCCTAATGATACATGATTTGAGTATTTTTTCAAATAAGAAAGATATTGTCACTAAAGACCTGTTGTAGATTTTCTGTAGAAAAATGTCTCTTCAGTTCATTTGCCCATTATTTGGTTCTTTTTGGCTTTTTGTTGTTGTTCATTTTGTTTTATTTGGGGACACACCCACTGATGCTCAGGGGTTACTACTGGCTCTGCACTCGGTATTACCCCTAGTGATGCTCAGGGGACTATAACGTATGCCGGGGATAGAACCCAGGTTGTCCATGTGCAAAGCAAATGTTTTACCAGCTGTGCTATCTCTCTGGCCCTGTAGTTTTTAATGTATTTTGAATATTAGTCCCTTATCAGATTTAAGGTTTACAAATGTTTTTTCCATTTTTTAAGGCACTGTTACATTTTGTTGGCTTCTTTTGCTGTGCAGACGCATTTAAGTTTCATTTGGTCCCTTGTTAATTTTTAAAAATTTTTAATTTATTTTTATTTTTTATTTTTTGTAATGAATCCCTGTGAGGTGCAGTTACAGACTTACAAACTTTCGTGGTTACATTTCAGTCACACAATGCTCAGTACCCATCCCTCCACCAGTGCCCATTCTGCACCACCAATGATCCCAGTGCACCTCCCCCCACCCCCACCCCACCTCATACCCCCCACATCCCTTGTTAATTTTTTAGTTACTGCTTGTACTTGGCTGGAGCGGTAGCACAGCAGTAGGGCATTTGCCTTGCATGCGGCCAGCATGGCTGACCCAGGTTCGATTCCTCTGCTCCTCTCAGAGAGCCCGGCAAGCTATCGAGAGTATCTCGCCCCTATGGCAAAGCCTGGCAAGCTCCCCGTGACATATTCGATATGCCAAACACAGTAACAACAAGTCTCACAATGGAGACGTTACTGGGCCCACTCGAGCAAATCGATGAGCAACGGGAGGACAGTGCTACAGTGCTTGTGGCTCAGTTATCACATTTTGCAGATTTTAACACTTATAACAGAGAGATTCACATGAATTATATAATTAAAATTTTAATATAATATTGGAGTTTATAGGCCTATTTTGACATTGTCACAGAGGGACTATTGGTCAGACCATTACTATTTGCCCATAATAATTGGAATGTGTAATTTTTGATGTGATCAAGTAATTTCATGAGTTTCAAGATTTTTTTGTTTGTTTTGGAAGCCACACCCAGCAGTGCTCAGAGCTTAGTCCTGTCTCCATGCTTAGGGATCATTCCTGATGGGACTCAGGGGACCACGTATGGTGCTAGGGATAAACTGGGGTTAACCTCATGCAGACAAGTGCCCTACCTGCTGTATGATCTCTCTGGTCTCAGAGTTCTTTCTTTCTTTCTTTCTTTCTTTCTTTCTTTCTTTCTTTCTTTCTTTCTGGGGGGAGTGTGTGGTGGGGGGAAGAGAAATGTCCAACAGGGCTCAGGGAACACTCCTAGTGTTGTTTTGGGTACCATATGCTGTGTGAGGGATTGAACTGGGTTGGTCGTATGCAAGGTGGGATTATTTTTTTGAATGATAAATCATCTTCACTATGTTTATAGGAGGCAGCCTTAAAATTTCCATTCTAGAAAAGGAAGTCAAACTATAAAGAACTCAAACGAACTTCATTACATCCACCTCATAACCTTATTTATTTATTTATTTATTTATTGCTTTGTTGGTGGATAACTTGGTAAAGAAGTAGAATCTTGCTGTACAAAATATGACTGTGAGATCACCCTCAGAAAGCTTCCAGAATGTACATCTTAATACCAGTCACTTCTGATCACAACCAAGTATAAAAGTGAATTAGGACTGGAGATGTGAGGAAGTGAAGGATGATGGTATATCCCTGTCATATCAAAGAGTTTTGACATCATAATTTCATTGTTATTGTCTTTAGAAACAACTACAAGGATTATTCCATGGAGTCCAGGCTGCACTTCAGAATTCAGGCAGCTCTTCACCTCTGGAAAAAACCTTCCTCAGATTGAGCAGAATGTGATGGATGACCTTTTTCTTAATCGACACTGACATCTGCTACAGATTAGACCTTGTATTAAAGTGAAAATGTGATCTTGTGAATGAGAGATAAAAATATAACTATCGTCGATATTTTCTATAATCTGTATGGTATATTATTCTATATATATGCGGTTTTTTTCCTATGGAACGATGTTCAGTACTATTTTAAAAATTCCTATATATTTTGCCTCTCCAAAGAGAATTTCATATTAGGTTTGAGTTGGAGAGTGAAAAGTCTTTTCAAGGACTCAAAGGTACAATAAAGTCTAAATTAGATTATTTATTTTTTTTTAAATGTGGAAGTGAAAAATGTTTAAGTAGCCAGTGGCTTGCAACTTGAGACATTTTTTAGATTTGTTGGCCAGTTAAACCTTAGGGATTTTTTTTGCTGCATATCTAAATTTTAGAGGCAAAATAGAAATCACCTATGTTCCAAATAGCTTAATAATAACTTTATGAAGACTCCCTGAAAAAGAAGACAATGGTTTATACAGGGACAGGATAATATACTTAACAAGTTGAAAAGAACTGTTTCCAGAAAAGATTAAAAAATGCTGTATTGTGTTTTAGCCTTCATGGTTAAAGATAACTGTTTTGAGAGATTTTTCTGTTTTGAATGTACTTAAATCTATTATAATAAGAAAAGATTTTAAAACTCTGCATACCCAAAGGGAGGAAAAAGTCATATTTTAGAAATTACCTTCAACTTTAGCAAGAGAGCCTAAATATATATGTATATGTTTGTTGATTATTTTTTTATAGGAAGTGAAGTTCCTGCTGCTTTAAATGATATGTAAAATATCAATAGTTTTTACAGTTATGATGTTAGTGAGTACGATCTAATTTTTTAAAAAACAAAAACCCACAGACCAAACTCTAGCACTGTGATGGTTCCTTATAAATACATGGACTGAGTTGAGTCCTTTTATTGGGAGACACAATCAGGGCATAAGCAGAAGAGAGACGGACTCTGGCCCTGGCTCTGCCTCAGGTTAGCAGTGAGCGGGGTCACCACCAGGGAACCCACTTGCTCTTGGCATCCCCACCTTTTCCTTACCTGTGAAAAGGAAAAAAAGATGGATGTCTTTCAAGGCCTCTTTCAGTTTTATAACTGTGAGTCTGTGTATGGGGAATTTATTTTCAGTGAATAATGTTTAAATGTTTCCTCTAAATCATTCCTGTGTTAAAATGTTCAAACCATTCCTTTAGAGTATGTTTTGTGTTCATCATTTATCTTCATTTCCTTCCCCTGCCCCCCAAATAGCCTGAATTATGGCTGAGGACAGATTGTATCCAGAGAGAGAGGAAAAACCACTTGAGGATTGAGAAATCATGGGTGGGGGGCGGGTGGGCGGGGAGGGAAGGGAGTAAGTGGTTGCCCTAGTTCTCTTTCGAAGAATTGTCAGGGAAACCTCTACAGTTTAATAGCCCCAGACTGCGAACCAGGGTCCCATAACTGTTATCACTGCTTGACATACCGCAAGTTCATTCACCTGCTCAGGGACTCTGTTTCCCCAGTGAGGATAGCAGCATTGTACATGTTGCTTGTGAGAGTGCAATAAGGTAATGCAAATGATAGCTTGTTTAAATTGTGGAAGGCTACGTGAACACCAGTTGTAATATTCAGGTTGTTTGCACTGATTATAATATCAGCACAAAAGTTTTGTCTGAGTTTCTGGCCTCTATTAGTAAAGAAAGAAACTTGGAAATTCAGATATCTTAAATCATGCTTGACACTGGTGAAAGCCCAGATTATGGATTTGTTCCTTGCTGTTTATTCCTTGATCTATGTGCCTGTACCCAGCAGGAAGTTAAGTTATTTACTCTTTTTTTTGTACCAGGCGTTATTCCCAGCTCACTTCTTGGGCATCACTCTCGGCAGTGCTCAGGAAACCATGCCGTGCTGGGCTGGGAGTGGTGTTGAACTTGGAGTCTTGCGTGCTTTGCATGTACTCCGAGCATTTTGACTATTTTTCTGGGCTTCTGTAACCGGATCTTGACTGACACTGAACATTCGTTAATATGCTCACCTCAGAGTCCTTCCTCTTTATGTTACTCTGTCTCAGTGTGTGTTGTTAATACGAATCAAATAATACTAAGTCTAGACAAAAGAGGAACTAAAGTTAACTGTACTTGCAATTAGCAAAATAGTACCATATTTGGTCAGAAGTTTATGAATTCTTCAGAAAAACTTTGGTAGCATTTTTTTTTAAGTAGAAACGCCATTGGTGTTAGAAGCTGAGAGTCTAAAACATTCTTTCTGAAAGCAATCTAAGCTAAGGTTATGCTTATTTTAACTGCATTACCAAGCAAATGTATGGGGAATCACTGTTTCCTGTTTAAATATCTTATTTTTCACTTGTATTTTAATTTCTTTGGAATCCTTTTTATAGTTACCTGGTAATACAGATAATTTATCCAGTAGATTGAGGTGGAGGGGGGAGGGGGGGCCCCAAGCAGTGCTTGGGCCCTGGGACCTACCTAGCAATAATCATTCATACTTGGCCTGGAGCCCTGCGGGGCCAGAGCTCAGGGTCATTGTACATGCCAGGCATTCAGACTTCTCCCAACCCTTTCCCCAACAGATTTTATCTTCCTCCATATTCAGTATATCCTAGTGGCACAAGTTTCTTGACAGTAGTTAATGTTGCATTTGGAGGGGAGGGGTTTCTGTAAGAATGAGTGCAGAAATGACTCATTTGATGGTTTATTTAAGGTTTTGAGGTGCATATGAGATAGGTTTGGCTGCCAAGGTGTCTGACAGTTTATTCAATTTCAGTAGTTCCTGCTATAATTGCCTTTCCCCCCCTTTAACCAAGAGCCAGGGTTCTAATTGGTGTTGCGCTTATGTATGTAGAACTCAAGACAAGATTAAGCTTTCAGGATCAGGGAAGGCAGGTTTCCTCTTGATAATTAATGGGAGATCCACTTTATCAGTTCTTAAGTGGACATGTATTTTTATGTTTCCTGTGCTTCTTCTGCATACAATTTACAGAGAAAAGAGAAGGGCACTGATTCTTGGAGGCTTTTCAGAGAATAGAGATGATAGAAGTGTGTGGAACACTTTCTAGAACCATCAGCTTGAATTATCAGCTTGTAAGCTTTTTCTCACTTCTTTCCTCCCTTCCTCCCTTCCTCCCTCCCTCCCTCCCTCCCTCCCTCCCTCCCTCCCTCCCTCCCTCCCTTCCTTCCTTCCTTCCTTCCTTCCTTCCTTCCTTCCTTCCCTCCCTCCCTTTCTTCCTTCCTCTCTCTTCCTCCCTCCCTCCCTCCCTCCCTCCCTCCCTCCCTCCCTCCCTCTCTCCCTCCCTTCCTTCCTTCCCTCCCTCTCTTCCTCCCTCCCTCCCTGTGATTTTAACAGACCCATGTTTTTCCTTCCTGATTGGGAAGCTTGGACTAGGTGAACTGTCAATTTCTACTTTTGAAAGAAAGTTTTTCCTCTTGGCTTCGGGATGTTGTAAAAAGAGAGAGTGCACATGTTTTGCACATACAAGGCCCTAGGTGATATTTGCACTAAAAGTAGAAAAGAGTTTCCTCTTTTGAAGCTGTTGTCAAAAGTTTGTATATTGTCAGAGACGTATAGCTCCTGCCTTTTAATGCAGCGATTCTGTATCTCATCTATTCTTTTTAATCTGAAAATGTTTATTTCCCTTAAAATGTTAAAATTATAATTATGAAAGGAGTTCTGGAAAACACCAGTGATCATTTTAAGGTCCTAAAGTCCTGGAATTCACAAGTCCTGGAAAGGGTTTTCTTTTTTTAATTTTTATTCGTGAAACACCATGAGGTACAGTTGTAGACTTACAAATTTTTGTGCTTGGGTTTCAGTTATACGATGATCGAGTACCCATCCCTCCACCAGTGCCCATTTTCCACCACCACTGATTCCAGTATCCCTCCCACCCCTCCCCCCCCATCCCACCCTGCCTCTGTGGCAGGGCAATTCCCTTTGTTCTCTCTCTCCTTTTGGGTGCTTGGTTTGCAAAAGAGGCATTGAGTGGCAATCATGTTCTCTCTATAGTCTGCTTTCAGCATGCATCTTGGAAAGGGTTTTCTTAAACTCTCGTTGTCCCTGAGCTCTCACGGGGGCGTTTCTCCCTTGGACGCTGCAGTGTAGTAGCTTCCTGCCTCATGTCCTTGCGCTGGAAGCCTGGCTGGTGGCATAGGTTGGAAGGATGCTGAGTGTCAAGTTGAGCATTTTATGTGCACATAAGTGCTGCCGTGCTCCCCTTTTATGTTTTCTGAATTTCTGGATTTTACATGCTGTTATACTGTGATCACCCAGTCACCATAATTGCATGGTTACTTAGAACTCAAAAATATATCTGTAAAGCGTCTGTGAATTTTCATTTTGGTACATTTAGTGTTCAGATGATCAGATGACGTGGTTGGGCACTATTTCTCTCTGCCACTGAAGCTTCTGTTACAAGACTGAGATTATGCTTTAATAGAATTTCTTAAAAATTCCTTGCTTTTTCAGATTCACCAGCACGAACTGTTAGGATTGAAGACTAATGTTATTTGGAAACATTTAGTGGTCTTTTAATCCCTTACGGCAACATTTCAATGTTAACTCAGCACACCATTACTAAAGGTTGTTAGACGCTATTCACTGATTTAGAGAATTATTTGGGAGATACTTTAAAGTTATATGTTTTGTGTGCCTTTTGCTGTCCATTTTTACTATTTTAACAGGTATGATATCTACTGTGTATGCATATATAAAGACACTTTTAATCTTTTACACTTCTTGATCAGATAGGCAGATGGAAGACTGCTTACAAATATCAAACAGTGTTTTATACTGTTCTTTTAGCGGGAGTGCAGGATTTTCTCCAGATTGTTTCCTGTCCCCTGGGCCAATTATTTACGTAGCAAAATGTATGAGTTCTTTTTTTTGAGCCCTGCTTCCCTTTGTTAGTTTCTGTCTTTTTATAGTTCAGAACATTAAACTTGAAATGTAATGAAAAGGACACATCAGAATTTGTTGTGAGAGGTAAGTGTCTTTCGTGTTCAACGGTTTCTGTTGAACCGTGATGGTGTGGAGGTTCATTCTAGTTTATTTCTAACTACACAATCACAGAAAGAAACAGTGCTGAACACATGAAGCAGCTTGAGAAGGCCGAGCAGGTTCTTGGCCGGATCCATTTTGAAAGGATAATGGGGATCTAGCTTTGAGGAAATTTAACCGCCTCCATTTTACCCAGTTTACAAATGTGTCAGCAAGTAATACTGTGACATGACTTTTCGTAGAAGTCTAAGCAGCTGCCTCAATGTGCTAGTGTAAAGAATGCTTGCTGATGGCTAGAAAAGCAATACTTAATAGGAAAGCCCAAGGTACTTTAATACCAAGCTTCATGAAGTGGAACTTGTCGCATATTATTACACAATGTACCTTGTATGTTGACCAATAGTTCTTAGAAACACGTGATTTCAATGTTGAATGTAGAGGTGTTGACATATCCCAGTAGGAGTTTTTTATTTTATGGCTACTTAATATTTTTTAAAAACTAAGTTTTCACGATTGGTTGTCTGTTTAGAGCCACTTCTGGTGGAAAAGTTAATTTCAGTGTAAGATAACTGATTGCCAGAGAAATAGGCTATAGTGAACATGTAAAAAAGGACATTCTTTTTGTTTCAGTTTAAAAGGAATTACATTATTTTGAAGTGCTGGAAGATCTTCCTCCATTTGAAGGGATGGTACTCCTACTCTGGGACTCATTGTTGGAACTCCAACTGTCCAGATAGCAATTTGGGGGCATAATAAATAAGATTAAACAATTTTCATTAAATTATTTTTTTCTTCTGAAGTTAATCCATTCTTCATATAGACAATTCTTTTCTAGATAGTGATTTGTTTTTCACTTAATAAAATCATTTACATGAAAGAAAAAGTATGGTAAACACATTTTAGGATAATGACTAAATGGCTTTTAAAAAAGTCATTGAGTTCTGTTTAACTCAGATTTTAAGTAATGCAGAAAAATTACTTAGTTCTCAATAATATTTTGCATTCTCATGTTGTATAAGAGGGAAATTTGATAAGTAAATTGTTTATTATTTTTACCCTTTGCTCGGAGAGCCCGGCAAGCTACCGAGAGTATTCGATATGCCAGACACAGTAACAACAAAGTCTCCGATGGAGACGTTACTGGGCCCGCTCGAGCACATCGACGATCAACGGGAGGGCCTTTACCTTTACCT